TGTGGAAATGGGATTGAACTGTCTGTTTTTACCACTCATCTCTAAACTGAGTTTTTTTGCCAAAAACCTCATTCTCTTAAATGTTTCTACCAAACGTGCACACACATTTTCACTTCACGTAAACAATCATACATGGAAACTCTCCAACTGTATGTCAACAAATGACTTTTGTGAAATTTTGTGATAAAATGAAAAGCATTTTTTCACAGATTACAAATCACTTGGTTAAATTTAATGTGCCTTCCATGTGTTTGCTCTTTAATCAGTTGAGATTACATACATCTTTGAGATTAACATCTGTAATAAGATGTATAGTGTGTATATATAATAATATCTCATGAATATGTATCTATGAAAACAGTATATAGTGCTTTGTTGTGTCATTTACGGTGCTACAGTTTTCAGAAGCAAAGAAAAATTAATAATCCACAATAACGCATCTTCTCAATTGTGCACAGTGAGCAGTAAATGCTCACTGAAAATCCAATACTCCTTGCCCTGTTTGCTTCTTGCTCAAGACCCTACACATCAAGATTCCACTTCAATAGGCTAAACAAAGCAGCAATCAGACTCCATGGGATCATGTGCTTTTTTCCTGATGAATCAAGATTTAAAGGCTAATGAGAATCCTCTTTCATCAGTAATTGTTAATATTGTTACTCATGCTCTTTGAAATAAACCTTAAACTCAAGCAGGAGCCCACTTGCACATACTGTACATACTTGCTCTGTCACAAAAATAGCTGAAATAATTAGGTTCATTTTGAGTGCAGTTTGGGATTATGAACAAATCACCTCAAATTATGTTAAATCATGATTTTCAAATGTTGTATAGCCATGAATATCTGGCAAACATACACTTATATTGTATTATTTTAATATAAAACTGGAAGTAAGTCAGCTCCAAGTGATATTTAGAAAGACAAAATGTAATTTAATCTTAAGGGTAGAAATATATTTGGTAGCAAGATACTGTATATACCTGCTCAATTGCTGCTTTATAGTCAACCATGCATGGTTTACCCTGCTAATTATTCAGGCAGCCTGTAGGTAAAAAAAACCCACATGAACTCAGAACAGGTGATCAACCATGTTCTCTGGGAACCTTTCAGAAAGGACTAGAGAGTAATTTTGGTGAGAATTACACAAAAAGGTGTAAGTGCATTATGAATGTAAATCACTACAGACAATTTAGTGTCACACTCTATAAATCACAATTCCCAGTCTTAAAATATTTTATAATGCAAACTTTTATTCCTTAAACCATCTTGAATATCTGATTTTCAAGACATAAATTCATCATCCATTCTTTGCTACATAAGACATGAATTGGTACTACTGTATATACACAGATTAACAATCAAAACTGAGCTCCTCGGTGCACTGCACTGTAGCCCTCAGTGCACATACAGGCAAATAGACATGTTGCAGAATGACCTGCTATTATAGCAATGATTTTGCACTATTGGATTTTCACCTGTTTGGTTCACTGAAGCTCTCAGAGATGTGTCCTTCAGTTATGACCACAATGTCAAAAATAGCCAACGTCTAAAGGGCATCAATAACCTTGTGAAACTGGGGCAGAACAATACTTAAAAAAACTTTAAACCATTAAAAGGTCTAGAAAAAAAGGTCTTACCCAGTTGTGAAGTGCATTAGGTGCAAGATTCTTTTAAGTTATTCTCACGTGTATACAATACAGAATACCATACAAAACCCATAAAGTACTTCAGATCCATATAAGTAGATCTATAGACTTACAAATATAGATCCATATTTCTTAACATACAGTAGATAGGAAGATATAGAATATATACTGTATATAAAATATAGATATAAATGTATCTATTACACTGCTGTACTCATTGAACTATATCATCGTACACATATGGATTCACTTATCAGATATAATTGACGACACCCAAAATCTGGGTTCTAAACTACTGATGAGGGGCGTTTATATTCAGTTGAGCCTTCAATGAAAAGTCTAAACCATACAAAATTAAACTATAATTATTGGAAGGTTTTGTGGTAAGGGCTTAGGCTTTCTTAACGTGCTCCGCAATGGTTTGCATTATATTGTGTGCACAAGATGGGGCTTGAAATGGAATCACTGCTATTACTAATAAAAAAAAATCTAAAACAAGCTGAACTATAAACACTGTAAAATACTTAACAGGTTTTAAATGTTATTTATTTATATTGACTTTTGAAGAATGAGTAATCAAGCAGGAATACTGTATATGATCTTAACAACAACCCTTTTCTGTTAACCATGAACATGAAAAAAGGGTAAGTACAGCATATACCATACCGCACTACAGTACATAAAATATAATTCCAGAGGCTCAAAACTTAATTGTGACTGAACTTACAAAACTGTCCTGAAAGGGTTAACATAGTGGTGCATTTTGTTTCAAGTCTAAAAACAATTTAAGCACTTTTGGCAAGCAAAAGCAAAAACCCAAGTCATAAAGCACAATAAACAGAAGGGATAAAAACAAGCTGCAATACCTTCTACGGTGTCCTAATACCTGCATTTTTTTTACCTGCTTACACAAACATCTAAAGTCAGTGATCACAGACCTACTAATGTGCTGCCAAATAAGAGTCTCTTTGTGGCATGTGAAACAGACTGATGAATCACGGCTCTTAATTTTCATTATTCAACACTGCCAGCCCTTCCTGAAGGTAGTTTGCTAGACAGACATGATTTAAGGTTGCATACAGGAATCCCCAGGCTGTCACTTCGACAAGAGCCAATTACAGCACAGAGCACACCACTCAGGCAGCAAGCAGCCGGCAATCAGCACACAAAGTGAAGCGCTCTGCAATGAATAACAGAAGCAGAGAGAGTGAGCTGGGAGAGAAAAAGAGAGAGAGAAGAGAACACAGAAGGAAACCATCCACCCAGCAAATACGAAGCAGACCCCAGATTGCGGTGCAGTCCAGAGATGTAATTTACTGTAAATCATCACTGTTGTTCAGAATTTTACACAGCACCGGTGCCAGCCACTCTTCCAATGATATGATAACAGTGGAAGGCTACACTGCAAGAGAACACTTTCAAGCCCTGCTACCCATATGCTTCATCTGCGAGTGAGATTGAGAATTTTTAGCATTTGTACTCCCTCCAAATCCTCATGACTCATGTAAATTAAAAAAGTTGCATCCCTCAGGATGTCAGGAAGAGCTGTACCACGGGCCTTTTGTCAAAAAAAGAACAGCCACAACGGTAGGCTGTCCCACTTAACTTTGTGCTCTGATGTCACAACCACATGACCCAGCCTCTCCAGTAACAGCACATGAAGGAAAAAAAGAGAGTTTTAAAGCTTATGCCTTTTTGGATTGTGTGAATGCTTCATTCGCCTCACAAACAACCACAGAACCACAAGTGCGGTGCAAATTTTCTCCAGGACGGCAGAAAGAAGCCCCCGGTGTGTAAATGGTTAATCTCCGCAGGTCACTTCCAGTCACAGAGACCGACCAAGTCAGTAAGTACTCTAACCACACAGCCTATGCAGTAAATGCTGCTCCATCAAATATTTGTTCTTACTTTTCTTATTCTTTTTTTGCATGCTGCCTGTTATTTGTGGCTATACAAACTGTTGACAGCAAACGGCATACCTGTGTCTTGTGGATAAAGGCTGATTTTCTCTGATACAGTCTGTGTTTTCAGTTTAGGACTTCGAGGGTCATTGAAACCACAATAGGACAAGAATCTTTCAGAAAATAATCAAGAGGGGCTATGGCATCCAATAGTCTATTCAGCTCGGTAACACCATGTCAGCAAAACTTTTTCTGGGGTAAGTCTCCTTCCAATGTTTTTGTTTTAATTGTGAAATGTTTCAATTTTTCTGGTCATTCATGACAGCCTAACTGCAAGGCAGGGAAATAACTCAGACCTGTAGCAAGTTTAAATTACAGAGCTTTGATCACATCTTTAAATAATGTGGTGCATTAAAATAAAAGCTACTTCAAAAAAAAAAATGTCAAGTTTATCATGTATATGTTTGCAAACATACTCAAAAGCTGACGTGTTTGTACAACTTAGAACTACATTCATGGAATGATGAAAAATATGCAATAGCGAGATTTCGAACAAGTATAAACATCCACTCTACAGCAATTTACAGACTAACATTAAAACAAGATGTTGAATATTTCTGTATAAAAGGAATGCAGGAATTGTTTGATATTTTAAGTTGGATTTGTGGGCATGTGGTTAGACCCCGGTACAGTCTAAGAGGTATTGCTCTGACCAACTCATAGCAGCTGTGTCACTCTTCTATCTGACCACTTACACAGTTTCTACTATTTGAAGGAAATTACCTAAATATTTAACCTAGCAACATCTTTCACGCACATTGCATTGCACTTTGAAAATCAGGCAGACTGTTACAAAAGTATAACCAACTGTATTTGGTTGCGCTTTTATAAATTAGACTAGGAAAGAAGGAACAGAAGTAAAATATATATTTCTCACCAGCACTTACTATAAATCTAGGAGAAAATAGTTAACTATGCGTTAAATTTATGGGAAAAACGTTCATAAATTGCATACTGTTTTAAGCTAATATCAGTTCTGGTGTTGAAAAATGTACTGTATAATTACAATATGTAATTTTATGTTGTACAGTACACAGCTGTGAAAATGATCACTTATGCTCTAAATATTAATTGCCTCAATTTTACATTTAAAGAAACCAGAACAAGACTGAGACAACGTAAATCAAAGTAACTATTCCAAACCTCGTACACTAAATTAGTACATTTGATGAGTAAGGTTGAGTAATCCTTCATATTGAGACACCTGTAATATTACATTGTAAGCATGAAATTTTGAAATAAAAATCAAAATGAGCATAAAAATCAAAACCTTTCTAAAACCATTCAAAGTAATTCTAAAATGACCATGGCTAGGATTTCTGCATCAATTCTTTTTTAAAAAACAAAACACAAACCAGCAAAGCACGAACCGCGGTTTTGCACTTACAGTATTTTTTCAATGACGTCCATCATGTTAAATATATAAAAGTTTTACATTTCTATAGTCACAGACTGTACAGCCAGGAAATTAAGTATAAGCTGTAAGCAAGTCTCTGTGGTTAAAACATCCTTTCCCCACCTCCTTCACACTTTTTAATTGGCTAGACTTTGCTGGTTAGTTTTGTCATCGGGCACTGATTTAAGATTAATACAAAACAAAAAAAAATGTACCCAAATAGCCAATTGAAGAGGAATAACTTACAATATTATATTAAAATCAAAGAACATACAATGACTTGTATGTAGCTTTAATTGTAATCAATAAGTAAAAATGCAGACTATGTAATAGCCCATACGGTCAAGTGGCAAAAAAGTAGCTAATGTAGTTCCAAGGGCAACAATTCACAAAATCTCACTAGGTGCCCAAAAGAAAGATCTTCTAGTAGGCGTAAAATAAAAGATAAAGGCAAGGACCGAGAACATATTTTTTAACATAGTGTAACCTACTATTATAATTCAATGATGTCAAAATAAATTGTATGTACATAAAGTAATATAGATTCCTTATATTGCTTTGAGAAATATATAAAAATGCAACCGTAATGCAAATGTAACTACTTTAACCCAAATGATAAAATACTGATATATAAGAATAGATTCAGACAAAAATTACTTTAGCAAATGTTTTCAGTTAATAAAACTCAAAGGCAACGAGTTCCGATTTAACCCAATAAATGAAAATAAAGGCTCACCACTCTCCTCCTTTGCTGGAATGTAAAAAAGGATAGCGGAAGCATTTTATTAAGCAGTCAGTATCACTGAAGAACAGAAAGAGCTTTCTTTAATTACAAAACTTTGAATTCATAATAACATGTACAAACTTTTGCAAAATGCTCTTCAAAGGCTGTAGACTCTTTGGAGAAATCTGGTACAACAGTACCAGAACTAAGGATAAACTCCAATCACTGGGCTTGCTAAGACTGCTTCTTTGATCACATCATTTTCATTTTTTCCTTAAGTTAAAAAGGTATTCATGTACAATTCAAATATTTTTTCTTTCTGGGTTAATAAAAAGCAGCATTTTATTTAGAGCACAGTAAGAACTTACAAAAAGTATTTTGCCATTCACAAGGACCCAGTGCGGACAATTTCATACGTGCTTTAAATTTACAATACCATTTTGCTACAAGGACAAATCCCTACTGGCAAATCAATTTCACTATAAAAATAATACAACAAAAAACAAAAAAGTAACTGCAATTTATACTGGTGGAAAAACAGAAGATAAAGTTCTGGTGAAGGTGAACAATTTCACGAATGCACAGAACAGAAAAGATGAGTCTTGTGAGGTCAATTTTAGCCTTTGGGAATTGAGATTACACTTTATTAACAAAAGGGCAGTACAGATGTTATTTAAGGTCTCTCCGGTATTTTTAACCATTGCTAATCAATTACAAACATGTTCAAGAGCTCTGAGGTCCATGTGCTTTTAATTTATAACTGTGGTGGTCTAAATCTCTGAATACTGTGGGTTAATTCATTTAATTTGCTATCACAACTTTACTTGGGAAAACAAAAGCAAGGAGTAAGAGAAATGTGACCTACGCTCCTAAGGTTTAATAAGAACAAGAAATGCAAAGTTGCAGTCTCCATTATTAACAGTAAGGTTAAAGGTTAATGAAACAAGGGGGGAAAAAGTGTGAAGAACATCACAAAACCCAAGTTCACCAAATTCCTGTTCAGCCAAAGAAAACAAAGGAAGTTCAGAACTGAATTTTTTAAGGCTCATAGCATCTTTACTTGGCTTTGTTGGTAGGCAGCAGCAGTTACTGCAGCAATGCTGTATTGTAACATTAAACATGAAAATGCAACCTCTAGACAATACAAAGAGCTTAACTCATGGATATTTTAATTACCTAAATTAACTTAGGTCATTTTAAATTTGTGTGCACACCTGCTGTAACTTGCTCATTCTTAGTCTAAAATACATAATCCTCATCTGTGTTCTCCCACTAAGGCGGTTTTTATAGTGTATGCTGAAAAGCTGATTACACAAACTATTATTTCCAAAAGGCAAGCACGTCACCTTTTTTCCTCTTACACTTAATGCAATACTGAAAATCCACTATTACCAAAAAGTTTTTAATTTTTTAAAATATATCCATCAAGTCTTCTCTCCAGCTGTTTATATCAACAAGACAAGAGTCCATTTTAGCTTGTGTGGACAAACACTAAATCGTATTCAATTTAACTTGGCTTTAACATCAAGAAAAGCAATTGCCTGGATAAATTTTTATAACTTCACATATTGGCAGCAGAGGACTCATAATAATCTTCACCATGTGTGGCATTCATCGTCTGAAATGTAGCCGATACAGCCGATCATATACATTTTTCTCAAGCTGGGTTTGCCACTAGACGGCAAACTTTAATTTTTTTCTTGCTATTATAATCATCTATTAACAATTAAGCCAAGTCAGCGATATCATTTAGGGATGGAGACAAAAACAGAACATGCACATATGGAAAAAAATGATTAAAGCAACTTGGATTATTGGGCAAATTTGGAAGCTTTTAGGAAAATTAGTAGAAAACCAAAAATCATTTGCTAGTAACCCAATACATACTTCGAAGAAAGACTCCATTGCATAAAACCATGACTTAGTTCTGACCACAGGTCTTCATCTTCAGTCATGAGTAGACATCTTAAAAGAAAACCAGACACCCCTCTTTCCATCGCACAACCCCAACAAGGAACGTTAGTAATCAATAGGTAATCTGAAATTCAGATGAAATCTCATAACTGTAGCAGCTACCGTATAGACAGCCCTTAAACGTGCTTTAAGTTAAAGACTGCCTGTGCAAATTGTACTATACAAAGAATGTTTTTTTTTAATGTTAAGCTGCCTGAACCACTATATTTTACATTCACTTTATCATCGTTACTCTTAATACAATTGCTGTAGCAATTCTTTGTCAACTCTGCTGATCTTTGTATTGTTGAAAATGCACACTGTAAAGTACATACATGCACACAGTGAAATGTTTGCAGCTGTCTTTTAAATTTCTTAAATGTAAATAGCTGTTCCTATCTAAGAACATCCTTTGCAGATCATAAATGCCTTACTCCTGCTTATGTCAATGCTAAAAGACAAATACCATACACTGTATATTATAACCATATATTATATATACAGTACGTACACACCATATACCATACTCAACATCGTCCTAAAAACACAACTTATATGTTTGTGGTGTTGCTTGTTTAAAGATTAAAAACATTATGCTGGACTCTGCAATACCACAACATAAAACTTGCATAAACCTGTATTATTTTTCTCACAATTTGTTTTTATTGTATAGCATTTAAACACTGCAACAGATGTCTATTAAGCATACACTGAACAATGCCACCTTCAGCTTTAATTATAATCTACTTCATACAGTATTGCCCATCTTTAAGCACAAAACATAATTTTATATAACTGCAATATTATCTAAAAAATATTTATGAGGACTCAAAAATTCAAACTACAATTTATTTCCAGACCAAAAATCAGCTGCTAACAAAAATATTCAGGGGTGTTTTGGGCAAATTTATTTAATTATGCCACTTTAGGACATGTAGGTAAAAACATGGAAAAGCAATACAGTAATTTTATATAATGGAAATATTTGCATTTTTTCTTCAGCGACAGTCTATGTTGCCACACAAATGCATTTTTCAGAGTACATTTCTCTGGGTCTGTCTTCATCACAAAACCTATAAGAAAAAAAGTTCTTGACCACCTTGAATTCCAAAGCATGTCAAAAT